TGACATGAAAGTTAATTGGGGTAGTAAGATATTGGGTTGGTGGATCCATCGTCAACGTGTGAGACCACCAGAGCATCCTCGTGTTAAATGGGTTTCTCATGATACTGCTATCTGAGTGCTAGGGATATCATTCCAGTTGAAGGAAAGTCAAACTCCAACAATGAGTAGATCACCGAGCAAACCCAGATCGAACTCGAGTTGTGGAAGAACAAATGATCTTCCTTATTAGGAAAAACATTAGCCATTAACAATATAGTTCTTGCGTCCATCTAGTACAAGTCTGTCATATGGGCAATAGACAAGGAAACTCTCAAAATCTTTCAACGTCGACTAATAGTCTTTCTCTGAAGAGATAACCATGATCTTAAACCACCAGTACCCTGCCCGGCCAAACTTTTGCCGCCTCCTGAATTCATGGAGGACGTGGGCAGGCCTGGTAAAGGCTTGGTACAACATCGACACATGCGTAATGGTCGCTCGTTTTGAAAATGAAAACGGGTGACCGAAGAAGCAAGAAAAAAAAGTGAGAAAACGACAGAAAGCTAATTCCGCTCAAAACGGCGTGAGTTCGGGGTTGTTCCTCTTGGAGCGCCGCAAGTTCTGGCTCGTGCCTGACTCCACTCTCAGGGTCTCGCTCCACTACTCACCACATGCACAAAAGACGAACAATATGGTGGTGCATCTTCCCAGGTCTCAGCAGAAGATTCTTCCCATTTGTACATTTGGTACCCTCATCATTTCCCGAAGTCCATAGTGAGAATGAATCTTGCGCGGCAACGTGAAAACAGAGACGGTTTGCGTACTTGAAAAAAAAAAAAAACGACAGATACAGCGCCTCATCCTACGAGATAAGATTCGCTTGGGAAAAAAAAAAAAAAAGATAAGATTTGTTTGGGGTCTTGCTGCCCATCAATGAATTCCTCTCAAGAACATGGAAAGATACATTGGCATGATTTTTGTCTTTTGTGCATGTCCACAGAGTGGGGCGAGACCCACACTCAAGATTTGTGGCCCCTTTTTTTTTTTTTTTTTTTTGAGAAATCGAGAAATTGTCCAAAAACAAATGGAAAAAATAAACGAAAGATCCACTGCCACAATTTTTGTCTTGTGCGGTTGACGTTGACAGTGCTGAGTGTTGGAGAAATGTCGTTCTTCCTATGAGATTTGCCAGGGTCCGCGCTGCACTAGTTTCCACATTTTTAAAATGAGAATGAATTATACACAGGAACATGGAAGGATACAAAGAAGAACAACATGCCCCTGCAGAAGAATGATGAATGACTTATGACACGGCTCTCTGACTACGAGCCTGCCATTTGTGCCTTCACTTGCTCCTCTAGCAGGAGCAGCCACCCTACGGGAGAAGAAAACGTAGGACAAAAAAAGGAAGAAGGGAAGAAAAAAAAAAACAAGGGAGAGAAAAAAACGAAATAACCAACACAGAAGTACCGCTCGCCAACATTGAAGGACCGATTGACCCCATATCACGACCACTTACCAGTTGCATTCCCACAATACAAAGAGGTTCGGTAGCTTGCCAACAACAAGGACCGGGAAGGCTACTTCATGGGTACTGGTGGCTTAAGAAGGTCATCAACAGAGTTGTTTGACAATCAATAATCCAACCAAAGTGTAAAGGGGAGTTGGGGATTATTGACCCATCTACTCAAGCTATGACTTTATCCTTACAATGGATCAAGCGCTGCCTCTTCAACCCCCAAATACAGTGGTCCGCGCTAGCCTTGGAACAAATTAGAAGATTAGCTCCTCCAACTGCAAAGGATATTGATCCCTTGATATGACTGGAAAATTGTGCATGGCCTCTCCCAAGAAGAAGTCTCAAAATCTTAACAGGACAAACAATCTCATATCATCAAGCTGTGAGAAATTAGCTCTGTAAAGACCCGTTTTGGACTACTCTTCTCAAAACTTGGACAAAGTTACCTCTAACAGACAAACTTTCCCCAAAGAGATGGGAAAAGATATGTCAACAATCACTATTTGATAACAGATTAATCAGAGATTCTCAATGATATGTTCTTCACGACACCGATTCACCATGGAAGGATGGGTTCGAAATGGAGTACTAAGGATTAAGGGCATCTGGGACAAAGAGACAAATGACTGGATTTACCCTTCATTATTGCTTGCTCGCCTATACCATTGTCACACCCAGTAGAAGCTCTTGAGAGAATCGTTAACTTGATTCCTTTGGAATGGATTCGTATTTTGCGCAAAGGTCCTAAACTAGAAACCAATGGTTGGGTGGCCATTAGGAATCGTCCTCAAGAGATTGATATTATTATGGATAAATTTCCTAATGGAGATATTTTATTGTCAATCTTTGAACTAGGTCATAGTCTCCAAAAGTCAGGACAAAATCGTATGGGTACAAAACAACCATATTTTTAGGATCAGAATACTAAAAATAAACGATAAGTGTTTAGCTTTCAAGCCTAACTCACATATTTCATAAGTACCCCTAGATCCTATCAATTGGAGTTGGAGATCAAAAGGAAGACGTAAAAGAGTGAATAGATCTTATAGAAGGGATCTTCATACTCTAACAGTAAAATCAACTTACCGAATGTTGAGAGTTAAAATTAACCTCCGAGATGTGATCTCCCTAAGATGGATGAAACACCTTAATCTTAGTAGAGAGGATTGACGACAAATCAAGCGGTTTAACATAATGAAATAAAAACCGGCAAAGGTAGTCTCACTTCAATGAAAAATTGAGCATCGCTGCTTGCCCATAAATGATTCATTGATAGACAAATCCTCCCTTAAACAAAAAGGGGTAGCAGATTCATGGTGCAAATTTTGTAAATCTGCTTTCCCAAGTAGACTGATTCCTGAAACCATTGAGCATATATTTATGCAATGCCCCAACATTATCTGGTTGCGGAGGTGGTGGGAGCACATCTGGAGTCAATTGGTGTCAGGGATCCATTGACCTTGGAACTGGAAGGCAATAATGCTAGAATCCTGGTTGTCTAATTCCTATGAAGAATTCACACAAAATATTTTCACCATTGGAAGAATGGTGGTTATGTGGGCCATTTGGCTTAGGAGATGCACTTATGAAATGGAAGGATGCGGGCTGGATGGGCCTGACTTTATTGATACAATCAAACAACAGGTCCAAACTAAGATTTCAATGAAATGGGAACAAACAAAAAAGTCGAATTTTTATCTTCATGAACAGAAGTTCTCAAACATATCCAAAACTTTACCTACCAGCTGGCTTCGAGGGAACCAGAGGGGAAACTGGGAAAGGTTGTGTGGGATGGGGCTTTGGGGCAGGAGGATGATGAGTTGTGCAGGAACTACAGATTGGTCTTTGAAGACTGGACTACATCCTTTTTTTTTTTTTTTTTTTTTTTTTTTTTTTTTTTTTTTTTGGGAACAAAGCTCCAATCTATTCGTGGGGAGCAGCACGTGTTGGGAACCGGGCCCAGCGTCCCATATGGAAAAGTACATCGGATTTAGAAAATTTGAGATACCGGGGCCATTACCTGGCTTTGGCTAAGAGAAAATTGGAGCTACTTAGAAGATTACTACGACAAACTTCAGAATTGAACAAAATTCAGAAACCAACTCAGGAGCCCCCCATCAATCCTCTTTACCTCACTCCGGCAAGACTTACGGCAACAGAGCCACCATCTTCGTTGCTGCTGTA